TCTTTGTGGGGAGCGTTGCGAACGCTTATCACCCAGCAAGCGAAATACAGAAAAGTGGTTCATCAAGTATTATGATAGGACGGATTGAGGGTGCTACGAGGCAAACATTCCAAAGACTCAGTGAAATAGGGAAACAAGGTTTACGAAGAATGTAGGGCTACAGCGGCATGTTCATCGTTGAAAATAAGTGCATAATGTGAATTTACTGCATTCTTAGTGGATGAGCATGTTGCTCGCATTGCTTGCAATGTTTCATCACACGTCAGGATGTAGGAATTGTCCCATATATTGTCTGAAGAATACGGAACCACCCACTAAACCCTATGAGGTTGTAGTCCGCCGCAAGGATGGCGCAGAGTTTGCACGTTGCCTATGCGATGTGAGACAAGGCACAGTGACAGAGAGTGGCCCAGAAAATAGTGGTATCTGCGTTCTCTAAGGAATATAAAATGTAGACGAAAGTTGAAAGCGAAGGAAGACCGGATCCTGTGCTATGACAGGGAATGACGAATGTACAAGCTTCACAGGGTGACCAAGGGCGGTAATAAGGACGGTGGATTGCGGCGGATGTGTACAATGTCTCAGAAAGGGGGTCATCATTGAAAGTTGATGTCACCTTTGGCTCGCAATTACTAACGTTTGATATAGTGGCACCAGTCGGCGAGAGGAGGGCCAGGGGCAACGATAACCTTGACGTTGTGTGCGGCGCATATGTACTTTGGTTATGAAAGAATGTCATCATTGAAATGTAACCCTACCTTTGTACATTTGTCAACAATGAACGCTCAAGTGAGTCGCTTGTGTGGGAAAATAGACGGTGGTAGGGTTCACTTTCACGGCGGCGCATGTTAGTTTGTCAATGGAAGCGCTGTCATTAGTGAAATGACAGTAATAATAGTAGGATGAGGAAGGGCTGCGCATTTCACTGTGGCTCTGCAAGAGAAGTGAGCACGGGAATCTAATGGTACCTGTGCCTATGAATCAACGATGCCTCACATGCTGGTGGCAGTACGTGGGAATATGCGCAGTGGCTGAGTTAAGTATTAGGGCAAACAGAAGCGCATATCACTTGGGCGCTGAAAGAGAAGTGATCATGGAAATCCAATGGTACCTGTGGCTACGAATCAATGATGCATCACTTGCCGGTGGCAGTATGTGAGAAGAGGAGCAGTGCCGCTGATACATGATAAGGTGCCAGCGGATAAGCGAAGGTGGATGTAAATGGTTCCGGATATTGGGTAACCGGATGCAATAAAGGTGACGGACGTTTGAACCATTCAGAAATGTGCACCACTACTTCAGTGAGCGTGTATACAACTCGGAACCCAGCAAGGTTGAACACTGAGAAATGGCTTCGCCAGCCTCATAAGAGGCCACCATGATAGGTCAAAATCAGTTTAAACCGGACATGGAAAAAAGAACTGCGTAGGCAGTACAAACATGTAATAGTGTTTAGAAGATATGTTACAAGTAAATATGTGGGGTGTAAAAGACGCGGTGGTGTTTAGGCGCATGGCATTCCGCATCAGTCTGTAAGCGACGTGACGATCAGAGCAATCATGCATTGGAAGGAAATATGCGCGCGTTGTAAAAGTCACGTGTGTACGCATACTACACAACCCGGAAGTGTGACGAAGTAGGTAAGCTTTGTCCCGTGTTCCGTGGAGGCGTACCAGTAGTGGCGGACCACTGAGGAGGGCACCACAAATAGACGGGGGTTTTGAAAGAATGGTTTCGTGGAGGCTGAGTAATATTGTGGCAACACTCATATAGGTGGCACGCATTCACAGCAGTTCAAAAAGCCACATGTTAACAGCCGAGACACTTAGCGGGGGTGCTACGGAATATGTATGCGGCGGCAAAGGTTTCGTGGAGGCTGAACAGTAGTCGCGGATAACCCATATGGGCAGCACGGATATACATCAGCTCTAAAAGCCACTTGTTAAGAGGCAGTATACCTACCGGAGGCGCAACGGAGTATATGGTCGGGGGCGACGGTTTCGTGGCGGCTGCGAAATAGTGTCGTACCACTCATTTAGGTGGCACGCATACACAGCGGTTCAAAAAGCCAAATGTTATCAGGCAAGACAATTACCGGGTGTGCTACAGAGTACATACGCGGCGGCAAAGGTTTCGTGGAGGCTGACAAGTATTGGCGGATCAATGGTATACACAGCCCGGATGAGGAGCAATTCTCAAAGCCACATATGGACAGAGGTGCAACGGATTAGATAACGGGGGCAAAGGTTGCGTGTAGGCGGACAACTATTACTGGAACACCTTTCGGCACAAGCATTTCAAACGAAATGCATACGCCGGCAAAGTGGAACACGAAAGGCTGTTAACAGGAACCCAGGGAACCGACACCCGCAGCCGTGAACGATTCCCACTACAGCATCACCAATTATTTTCGCAGCGGAGTATCCGGTGGTGCACAAACAATAAAAAGGAGAAACCTGGTTGGACTTTTGTACAACACATATTTTCCACTGTCGGTTGTCGTGTTCACGTTTTTAACTTTTTGTCCGTAAATACCCTTGTGTTTACCAGTTTTTATATCCATTATTTATAACATGGTCGTCAAACGTCGCGTACCTTCCACATCTGTCAAGAAACCAGTGAAACCTTTAGCGCCTTCGACCGCCAAGGCTAGTCCACTCCAAACACGGGAGTGCAAAGTAATGCTCTCGGATCCACTAGCTGAGGCTTTGCAAAAAGTGTCTGCCCTCGAAAGTCAAGTGAACGAGTTAAAAAGTCAAATTGTGACTATTACCGAGACTCTTGACAAGCTCACACCTTTTGTCAACTTAACCAAACACCAAAGTGGAGAAAATCTGACTGATATAGTCGCAACTGGTGAACTATTGAGCAATATTGCGCACGAAGTTAGTGAACGCATGCGCCGCGCCAACAACGCTATTGTACTCAATGTACACGATAAATTGCCTCTCAAGAAGGTACTGCAAACACTCTTAGATGCTTGCCAAATGCCACATGGTTGTTGCACAGCCACTCGTTTGCGTAAGATCCCTGGACGATCTTGCCCAATCGTGATCAAGTTTGGCAACCACGACTTTGCTAGAAGGTTTATTGACGCCCGTTTTCTCCTAAGACATCTGCCTAATCTCGGGCCAATCCTGATAAAACCGGACAGAACACCGCTGCAGAGATCCATTCTGCCTAAACCAAAACTAACCAAAAGAACAACGCAAACAACACCACCCTCGGGAGCGCAACTGACTACCACTCATCCAACTTCAACTCCCACCGCTTGCTCTTCTACGGTTTATAATGTGGACATGGATATAACAAAAGAACTACAAATAGACCCCGCCATACTAGAGCCGCCTGGGAACAAAGGATGCGTTAATAGCATCGAAACTGGGACTGTTTCAATGACAGCAACAACCAGTACAGCCGTGGACAAAACACACCGTCCGCGTCCAACTAACCCGTCAGACATGTATGACACAGAATCAGAAGTTGAAAGCATTGACTTCTTGTCGTCTTACACGCCCCTTACCAGTGTCATAAAAGATTCCGCGCAAACTCCTACTGGTCCGACTCCAACGTCTAGCAAACCTCAACCACGATGTTTGATTGCTAAGACTCCTCGGCTTCCATCAAAACCACAACAGTACAGCAAAGTTACAACACGCGAACGTTCCAACGTGGCCAAGACAAACCCCCCGTGGCTACCGATTAAGCAAAACACCCAGTACGTTCGCATGGACATACCGAAAGTCCCGCCCCCCGACCCAACGAATGCACCACCCGTCTTGTACACCCCTCCCTGTCCCACCCCCTACACCCCTGCAACACCCCACTACACGCGGGTCGCCCTTACAATTCACCAAAAAACCCCGCCCCTTTTCTTCATATTCTTTTTACTCCTATTCGGTCCGTTGTCTTTTCTCTGTTTCTATCTCCCTTTTCTGGTTCGTTCTCTTTTCCTTTTTCTTCTAGTTTTGTCTTACCCCCAGGCCTTTTTCGACGGTCTTTCTTTTCTACTGCAATTTCAACCTGCTCGTTGTTTATCCTTTTGTGTTTATCTGCCCCCATCATTTTTCTCGATTTTCCGTTACTTTTTTCGGTTTTTTGTATTCTTTTATTTTCCGTACTGTGTCATTGCTTTCGCTTTGTCTTTCTTTTTGATTTCCCTGCTTGTACGCCTTTTTTCTTTCATTGTTCTGCCCTCCTCATGCTCATCAGATTACTGAAGTTAATTAGCTCTCACCGTATTCTGTTTTACGCTTCATTTTATTCCTTAGTCCCTAATTGCTCATCGAATTGTTTATTAATATGTGCTTCTCGCTTATGTTTAAAACATTTTTGTCTCACATCTTTATCATAAATTAGACTCCTTCATATTGGGTATGCGAATATTTACTCTCGTGTTAAGGATTTTCTCCTTTCCTCTTATAGAAAACTAATCCCTATTTACGTCCTATTGAAGTGATATTCATTCCTAATCAACTACATCAAGAACAAACTACTATCACTTTCACCGAACCGATTCACTCTTCTTTACTCTTCACCCTTCCGCATTTCTTTCAGTATATACTGCACATCATTCTCTTTCACTTTATTCCGGACTTCCCTTATTTTATCTATTTCTTCCGCCGTGCCCTCGCCACCGCAGACCAATCGAGAGCCCCGCCCCCCCACCCCCCCCAGCCCCCCCTTTCTAAGGCCACCGCCCCCTTTGATACGATTATTCCTTTCTTTATCCGTCTTGCTTATCTTTTCAGGGTCCGATTCACCTTTTCTTATCTATTAAAATATCCAGCTTCTCTTCGCTTCTCCCTCATCATTTTTTTCTATCTTTGCTCGTATTTATTTCTTTTCCATCTTACTCTTGTATTTACACTTATATCACTCCCTTATTCTCAGTTTTTTTCTCTCTGAAGTCTAACTCGACCTCTTCCCCCCCCGAAAAGTCACCCCAGACCACACGCGTTCCTACCAAAAGTTATTCACTATCATTATATACCTTCTACTCACATTTTTATTCTTCCCAACCCCCCCCCCCCCCCCCCACCCCCCCCCCCCACACCTCCCCCCCTACCCCCACTCCCCAGGCCACCCGACCCCCCCTCGCCCCCCCCCCCCCCCCCCCCAGCCTCCATAATTTCCATCCATAACAGTGGGCTATAGCCCACCGTGCTTCTACGCCTATCATACTTCATGACATTCATCATTGCCCACCCCGGCCGCCCCACACCCACACCACTTGGCCACCAATTGCCCCGCACGACCGATGCCAAACGGGCTCAATAACCGCCCTCCTCCCCTCGCCCCAGCGCCGTCCGCGCACACACCCCTCTGCCGGCTGCCTCCTCGATCCACGGGCCCCCCCCACCACGGGGCCCACCCGCAGCACCCCCCCAGCCCCCCCCCCCCCCTCCGCCCACCTTATAGCCCCACCGACTCCCCCCCGGTCCACCCTACCGCCCCGCACCAGACCCTACACATCCCCAGCCAATTGCCCCAGTCCCCACCCGTCACATCACCCCGTCGCCCCCCACCCACCCCCCTCCACGATTAGTACGCACCTAAATCTCCTCCTCGCTATTCTTTTCCTGCGATTTTTCTTTTCATCCACGCTATTATCCTGTCTTTCTCGCTACCGTTTCAATTATTTTTCTCTCGTACTTCGTCTTACTTTTAGTTCTTCCGAGTCTATCTTACTCCTTATTTTCTTGTCCTATTTACCTTTTAGTCAATTCGTATTTCATACCTTTTTACAATATTACTTCATTATTTCTCTCGTTAGAAATCCGCTTATTTACTTTCCTTTCTATTTCTGATCTCATGCGTATGTCCCTTCTCTAATACTTCAGTCTTCTTACCGGCGTCAGTTTCCAGCACTAATTATCCCCCTTTATGACTATCAAGGAAGACGTTCATTGCTCTACCCATTCAATTACTCCCCTCCACTATTCCTTAGTTCCTGCACCCTCGTCTTATCTTCGATTTTATATCTCCGCTGTATTTCCTTCCACTTTCTTCATAATGAATTTTTCTTTATAGTTATGTCAATCATTACTTACCTTATCTTTCCGGGTCAAGCTAATAGTTTCTTCTTCCCCTCCCCCCCACGACCCCCTCTACCGCCCGCCAATAGAACCGACAGACCGCCCCCCCATTACCACCAACATCCGCGATCAAATTCGAAATAATGACCCCAGTCCCCGTAGGTGTATTCTATTAGACACCATTGCTCCTCACTGCATTGAATTCGGGCCGAAACGCACCGCGAGATCGTCGTGTCAAATCCCCGTAGCAATAAGCGCATCGCTTAACAGCTACGACGAGTAGCACCCTAGCCTATTGCCCGGCCCTGCCCGATTACCCGAGTTGCCTCCACGAGCACTCCTTGCCCTATTTCTGTATTTAACTTCCTTCACCTTATTCTACTTTTTTTTCTCATCTTTTTCCACTTTTGTTCCCATTCCCTCTTGTCTTTTAGCTTCCTCTTTTGCTACCTTTATCTTTTCTTTGTTTCCTTCGTTAACCTTATTTTTTATGCTCTCTTCCTCTGGCGCTGTCCTATGTTCTTAATCTCTGCTCGTTTTTTTAGTTTGCCTCTATGTGCTACTTAGCTCGTCTTTGCCGTTACGTTGTTCCTTGAGTGTTTTCTATAATTATATGCTACAAGGCGCCTATCTCCCCCCGCCCCCGCTAGCACATTCATCGGCCTCCCTCACCTATAGACTCCCCTAGAGAGTACGACCCACAGTACTTTTCCGCTTCCACGATATCACCTCTCTACCCCCTATCCCCACACGAACTCTATTCCGCCGAACCTTCCCACCCCCCCGACGCCAACTCAAGTCGCCTCGCCGCTCGTCACACGCCTACTCTCGCTCCTAACTGCCATAACGCACACCCCATCGGCCCCGGTTTCATAGGGCATCCCTGTTTCGCGAACAATACTGTAAGACTCAACGTGCCCCCCCCGCCCAAGCTCGACTCCCGAATGTTGCCCCCGCACACAACCCTCCCCCCCCAGCGCCGATCACACAGCACCGTTGCCTGTTATCTGCCGTACGTGTCACACCCGCACCCCAATCTACGCTCTGCAACACAGCCACTACCGAGCAATAGCTGACCCCCCCCCCCCGCCGTCCGACCCGCAAACACCCCACACAGGCCCGTGCGTGTGCATTTACGCACTGCCTTTGCGCTGCACCACTCGGCAGGACTACAACTACTACTACCTACTCCCGCCCCCCCGCCTCTATCGCCGCAACCCCGCTCCACTGCCCTTTCACCAACATTCCCACATCCTCTCAATACCCCCTGCCGTCTCACCCGGCCACCTCTACAGCTTCCACTGCCCGTAAACCATGCAGCGCTCAGCCCCCAGTGTGCTAATACTGACAGCACCCTATCCCACCATGCCACCCGGGTATGCCACCCCCCCACCCCATGCCTGCTCCTGCCGTCCCCCACTTGCCCCCCGTCGTAGCCCAGCTTTATTACGACTTCCCACGTCATCCGTCCTAACCTACAACTGCCAAAGCCGACTCAAAAATACCAGCTATTAGAATTTGTGCGAACACATCCCCCTACCCCACCCCCAACCCCCCACTCCCGCCCCACCACCCCGCGACAACCCCCCCTCCCCCCTACATGACCTAACACCCCCCCCGCATACTCCTCACCCTCCCGCCCCCCAGCCCACTCACCGCTCTTCATTCCCCATGCCCCTCTCGCCCCGCCCACCCTTCCCTCCGCCCCCCCCCCCCACCCCAACCCATCAACCAGCTCCCCTACCCAGTCCGGTCCCTTGCCCAACAGTTCTCACCTAACACACCCCGGGGCCAAATACGTGCCACACCTTACCATCCTTCCACCCCCGCACCTGCAGCCTATAACACCGGTGATACGCTGCTGCCCCCCTACCCCGCCCCGTCCACTAACTCGGCCCCGCCTCCCTATCCGCTCCTGATGACACACACCCCGCGCACGTCGCCGTTCGGTGCATGCCCCATCTCCGTCCCTTCACCCCCCTCGTATCCCCATTTCGTTACCCCCCCCGCAATCCCTCCCACCCCACTATCCATCTAAATACCCCAAAAGTTTGATCAACCCTGACAATCCCGCCCAAACACTACTCCACAGTACCTATACCGGACACCTCTGCCCCTGCACTGCACGGTTGGGTAAGACCCCACCCCCTCTACCCCAAATTCGTAGAATAAGGCCGCCCAAACTTACCTATACGCATCTGTAAACCCCCGCCCATACAAACCCCCCTGAGCTCTCCGTTAAAGTCCTATCCCACGGCCCACTCCTACCCACAGAGCCACATCGGAAACGTCTCAATGGCATGAGTACCCCTGTGTGTCCCCGAAAAACCCCTCACGACGTCACCGACCACCACCCCCCAACCCCCACCACAGAACGAGCGGATCAATCCAGCAATCCAGCTTGAGCCCACATAACGCAACCCATGCCCGTTGAAGAGCACCTGTACCACAATAACTCCCCCCCCACCATACCGCACCCCCCTACCGCCTCCCCGTCCCAACCCCCACCCCATTACCTTCGCACACGCGCTGGCAGCCGACAGCAAGCGTACACCTGGCCCAGCCCCCTAACAGGGTGAACGCTCCTCCCGTGCCCCTCTTGACGCCCAATCCTATGCCCACCGAGACGAGCCCCCACGCGCCGTCTCATGTTCCCGGCCAGACCAAACTCAAAACAATCACAACCCCTCCCACCCCCCCCACTCACCCCCTACCCCACATCCGCCTGCCCCCAGTGCCCCCTCCCCGCTTCTAACACCGCAACCACCCTAGCAGAAGCACTCAAGGACGCCCACCCCAGCCCACCTCCCTCTTCCCGGCCCTTAGGTGAGTCACTCTGTGCCGGACCCTTGCGCCAGTGCTAGCGCGCCTGGCCCGTGGCCTCCGCCCCCCATTTACTTCCCTGCCCGCCTACCCAACAACCAGCCACCAACAGCCACCTCCACCCCCACCAGAGTATCCGTGACAACCTACTGCAGCCATACCCACCTGCTTTGCATGACCCACCCACCCGCTCGCCATTGTCCTTCATGTCGCCTCGCCTCCTCCATTATCCATCATCTCGGGCCGAGCCCCATCCACCCTGCTCACCACTCTCCCCCCCCGATCTCCCCCCCACAGTACCTGCCAGAGCCACCATCCTGTCCGACCCCCCAGCGCCTCGGGAATCCGCGGCGCATCCACAGGCCTCCGCCGACTCCCGCCCACCCCCACGCAAGCAGCCACCGAAAACTGTTGCCGCCCCGCCCCACCTTTGTAACTCCTACCAATCTTTGGCGCCCGCGAATCTCCACCCTCCCCCCTGCCCACCAATTTCTACGCTCGCTGCGCAAGCGCACTCAAAATCCACTCCCACCCCCCCCCCCCAACACCCCCACGCCCCCCACACACCCCCTCACCCCCAATCCCTCACCCTCTGACCTTCCCGTCCCCACATTACCATGCTCTCGCTAGGAAGTCCAACCTAACCACTCTGCTCCGGCCCCCCGGCGACAGGCAATCGTAACCGCCCGGAGCCAAAATGACCACCCAAATAGTCCACTTCCCATTACCTCACGGCCGTCCCACCCCCCCAGCACTAATACCCCTCTGTCCGACACCCATAAACCCGTACAGATCCAACCCAAGCGCACTAATCGACCTACAGGCGTCTAACCCTTCAGAACCGCCCAAAATACACACCGCCCCGAACCGATAGGCCTGACAGCTAACCCCCAACGATTCCCCTACGCGACCACTACACAATTCAAACCGATCATATCAACAACCGATCCACCACAGCGCACGCCCCCACACGAACCACAATCCACAAGCCCATAACTGTCTGCCCACTTGCCCACAGCCACACTCGAGCTCCTCAACCCGTCTCTGTGGACCAACCTAGCCGTCGCGACGAACGCTCGCTGCAAGAAGCCACGACCTCCTTCGCAGACATTTCCCATCAACATATTGTGCGGTCCGCCCCCGGAGCCCGAACCCCACCAGCAGCTACACCACCCCACCCTCCCCTTCTGTATCTGCCGACATCCCCATGGGTGACAATCTTGCTGCTGTTTAGCACACCATAGCAAGCACAGTGTACAGTAATGGAGTGGAGGACAGATGGTTTATCCAACGGTCAAACGCTGCAGGCCCCATAATATTGCCCCCACCCCCCCTATCCCTCCACCCTAAGGCCAAACCCAACGAACTCACCCACCCCCGCCCCCCCACCCCCTTCCCCCGAGCTGTGATTTGCACAAATATAGCACGCATGGCTTGCACCCCTCCCCCTAACTAAACCACCCGTCCACCATGCTTGTTGGCTCCCCGCGCTTGACCAGTGAATATAATATGAAGTCCATATTGCCAATCATACAAGTCACGAATCAATTTGCCTCGCACAAATTTCCCGAGTCTGACTAACTCAAAGCTTTTGTTGTTCAGCACCACCCGACTTTCCGTTAACCTCCGCCATACAATGCCATGTCCACCTGGGCTCCCATTTGTAGTTTGTGAGATCGGCTGCAACTCCATCCGAAAACATTATTCGCTTCACCGGCACAACCATGGCTACTTACTCCGCTATTCCTCAGTAGACCAATCAACAGAGCCACTTAATCAACCCTCCATTTTAAATGCAGCTGTGGTAGATTGATTTACCTTATCCCTTGTTCGCTTTACCCCGTCGATCCGACAGGCTCTTTCGACTTGAACAAAAGCTCTACTTGCATTGACGTTAATCTTTACGATATTACGGGCTACTATCTACCCCCTTAGCAGACTATACCGGCTCCCTCCCTGGCACACAATTTGCGCTCAGATCCCTGTGTACTTAATTGGTTGTCTTAGCGGCTTTTGTCCCGCAGACACTGAAATAAGTCTATACTCTTAGAGCCGTTTTATCTCGGTCGCCTGTGAATATGTTTTCAAGTCCTTCCCCGGTCCTAAGTTTTCCCATTCAGTAATGCATGACGGTCAATATTCCAAGTTCTCCCTTGCGAACAAGTGGCCCTTCGTCAGGAAAAGGTAAATTGCCCACACCTCATGTACTTTCAATTGCCCTAAACCCACACCTATGTCCGCTTTGCGTATTTTGGTATCCCTGACTATGGAGAACAACGGATTCTTGCTCTTCAGCACCCCATCGCATTGCCGTCCCGAGCCATACGGATAACTTTGGACTTGCTCTGTGGCACCCGATTTGCTTGTATATACTACCACCTTTTATCGCAGAGTCACACCTGCGTTGTATAGGCACTCGTCCCAATCAGTTTGGATTCATTGTCGACCGGCACTCTTGACTCGCAGGACCCATAACAGCCAACCGTATACGTCCCCCCCCTACCCCGGCCACCACGTTTTCTTCCGTGTCCACCTTTACGTATACCTAGCTCCCCTTGACCCAAGCCGCAACCAATATCGCAGCTTACAGTTCTAAACTTTACGCCTGCAATACTAACGAAAGAACGCCACCTTGGACCGCGCCTTTTCGCTCCCGCCCCATCTATTGGTACTCTCGCGTATATACTTTTGTCGCTCATGTAGCAATATAGACCCAATATCCCTTCGGATACTCTTCACCCATGAACTCTGCTGCCCACTGACTATTATACCCACGCGCTACTTTCTCGTTCTTAAACATCAATTGTTGTAGCCATCGTTACGACTGGTAAACTTCATAATTAGCCTTCAGGAACCCCAAGTTGTATGCTGTCCTGCTCTGTTATAGCCGTAACTATATCCGCACCCCCTCTCAAAGTGGCCCCTACCTCATCCCCCCTCCACATCCCTTCCTGTCCCCCCCGCACCCCCCTCAACACTCTCTCTCCCCCCGCCCACTCACCCCCCCATCCGAACAGTACCACCTCACGTCCCACCACCCCCAGCCACCCCCCCCGCCTCCGCCTCGTCGCAGACTAACATCTCTCGCACACAGTAATATCAGTTCACGGTTTGAGTCTGTCGGTGGGTTGGGTTGGTGGGGGGTTTTGTTGTGTTTGGTTTTGTGGTGGTGGTGATATTTGCGTTTGGGTTCAGGGTTGGGGGTTCTTGGGGGGGGGGGATGGGGGGGGGGTTTCCTTATAACTGTCAACTATGACTTTGTACGCATCAAAAAGCTGGTTGGTTCACACCCCCCTACTCCCCCACATCTGCCATCCCCCTCATCTGCCTGTGTCCCTCAACTCCCCCACATACTACCCCCAACCAAACAACAACATGCAACAACGGGACACGACGGGCGGGGGGAGGAGTAGGAAAGAGAGAAGAATACGCACACACAGACTGTGAGTGAACCACCCAGTATGGATCTGAGCTCACTCGCCCAAACGTTATGACAAAAAGACGTGACAAGCAAAACTGAAATACTGACTCGTTGTAGCAAAAGTAAGAGTCAGCAAGAGAGCCGTCCAGTTACTCGAACGCCAAACACAAAGGAAATGCCACATGATTATATTAACGCCGTGCTCCCATAATTACACGACACAGCACAAACCACCATGGTTCCCTGAAGTCAATTATGAGATTCAGCACCAACGATCGCGCTCCAACAAATAAATATAAAGCACCTACGATAAACTACGCGCCGTTTTTAAAATGTCAATCGGCAAACCACAACCCGCGATCTTCACTAGGGTGAAGTACTCCCAGAAGGATACTTGGTCCCTCACATTGCTTACAGTATCAAGCAAGAACCAATATCAGAACCCGTCCCTCCAATAGCTGGACCGAAAAGCAGCTGGTCAACTCAGTGGTGGCTACCCATCATGTTACGTAATCCCCCCTTCACGGCGTAAATGTTTTAGCACAATTACAGCGACACTAGTGCACCCTTATATCACAGCTCGAGCTCAGTCATATATCGACAGTGACAAAACGAGGTGCCCTTGTAAAGGCGGCTTGCTTAAAATGTTGCTTTAATGCCCACTAAACTCCATCACAGCCGGTTCGCCTGCAGTCATGAGTGCTGGTCGACAACTCCAAACGATTGGGCACCTATGCAACGCAGGTGTGCTCTGCGAAAAAGGAGGTAGATAATACAAGCAAAGGTGCCACAGAGCAAGTCAAATCAGGCTCGGAGGCAAAGCAGGGGTGCTGAAGAGCAACATCCTGTTGTTCTCCATAGTCAGGGATACAAAATACGCAAGCGACAAGGTGTTAGGGCAATGAAAAGACAT